CCTCTGACCTTTGCCCCAGGCTGGCAGGCTTGGGAGAGGCAGCCTTATTAGTAGAGCCCTGAGGCCTCCTGAAAAAAAAAAAAAAAAGACCTATTCACTACCAGCTTGCTCTGTCTTTTTTTAAAGGCCCAGACCACCCCCTACTCCACCCTCCCAAAACCAACAAAAACACAAACGGGAGATCAAACCCTGCACATTCTGAGTGGCTCAAAATTTTAACCCAAACCCAAAAGGATAAACAGCACTTACTCACAGGCTTGCTGGAGGTTCTGAGTTAGCCACAGGGGAGCAGGGCATGGGGTGGGGGCAGGGAGAGGAGAGAAGGGCACATCCAAGGGCAAGGGATGGGCGGTGGGGCTAGAAAGATGGGAGAGGGCAGGAGGAAAAAGAAAAGCAGACTGAAAAGGCTCTCTTTTCTGCCGTGTGTGTGTGTGTGTGTGTGTGTGTGTGTGTGTGTGTGTGTGTGCTGCTGTCAATGGAGTCCCATACTGTGTTGAGTGAATGCTCTACCTCTGACCTACACCCCCAGAGGAAAAATGTTTTTGTCTGAAAATCACCTCACATGGGGAAAGAAAAGGGGGCTGAATTTCTGATGTCTAAATTGTCTCAGCCTACAGGGCTGCATTAGAATGCCAGCAAAGGCACCCTATACCTGACTTTAGCCAGCATGGACCCAGTGCCTCTCAAAAGCATCCCAGCACAGGCCCAGTGCCTGTCCAAGAGACCTATTTGCATAATGCATTCAGAGGCTGGCCAAGCCCACCTCAACCAGGACTGCCTCCAATACCAGGCCACCTCCACCACTGCTACTTGAGACCTTCCAGGACACCCTACAGGCTGTGGGCACAGTAGCACTGGTCCTCAGAGAGGACCTGCAAGGCCTCAGTTCCCTGGCTCAGCAGCAGCAGGTGTAGCCACACACCACACACGGAGCTCAGATGTGGATAAGCCCACAAGCAGCCTCAAAGGCAAGCAGAGTTCCAAAGAGAAGCCAAACTGTGCTGGCAAGCCTCCCACAAGCGACTCCTCCAACCACTGCTGGGACCACTGTGGGCAGGTGCCAACCTCACTGACCTTGCTGGAGTAAAGGACTCTGTGGGCGGCCTTCCACCTTCCAGAAGGACAGAGAGGCAAAATCAACCAAGTTACCCGAGATACATGAGGGAGTCAAGATGTCCAGACCCTGTGCATAATTGGGTTATCAATGAGCCACTCTGTGGTCACTGATAAGGAAGTAAGTAACGCTTCCCCGAATGGGAGAGTTAAGAGGCACAGCCAGGCCAGGAATCAAGAACAGGAGGCATCCTGGTTACTAACTAACAGGAAAGCAAAAATGACAACCACAAGGGCCTCAAGTCATTCTTGGCAGAAACACTGATGGCCCTGGTAGAGATCCCAGCAAGACAAGGCTGGGGTCCTCTCTGTGCCTCCCCTTGCACAGCTGTAAAACAGGGCTAATGCTAGCTGCCCAGGGCTCCTGGGACTGCACATCAAGACCAGGCACTAAGCCCAGTGTGACTCTGCTTTGGCCACCACCTGAACTCTCTTTATCTCAGCTCAGGCCTGCTCTTCAAAGCCAATGTGAGGCTTCAGGTCCCAGTGCAGAGAAGCCCGGTTTTCCCCGTTTCCTGGAATTCTGTACACATTAGAAGGGAGGATATCTCACGGCCACCCACTGACTTCAAGAGACAAAACTAAAAAGAACAATCCGGTGTGTAACTGAAATTTGTAACAACAATGCTGAGTTTTCATTTCTGTGCCAAAGCAAAGCATGGCTACTACAAAAATCTGCAGTAGTTTTGTTGCAAGGAGACTTGGGGGGGGGGGATGGGGTCTGTAGGAAGCAGGACACTTCAACCCCTACCCATCCCCAGTGGGGTGGAAAACCTCCAGCCTGGCCAGGTCCTTCGATTGCTGCATTATTCACTACTGCAACTGGAACTCTGGGCCAGAGCCACATCTCCTTGCACAAAACATGACCATCTGCAAAGAGGTGGAGACACTCAAGCAAGGCAGTATCCTGCGGAGAATCACTCTGGCCAAGTGCTACTGACAGGCATAGCCGGAAACCAGCAACACTGGATTTTTACCTAACTGCAAAGATTCCCTTTATGATGCACTTGGGGAAATCAAGACCCAGAACACTGACCCTCCCAGAGCCCCCAGAAATGGGAAGCCAAAGAGATGCAAGCACTGTAAAGAGGGGTGCGCATCCCCAACAAATTATGCTGGAACTCTGCAGATGGAGCTTGACTGAGTAGCTGTAGGGGGAGGACCTGTGGATGCAGTGTTACAAAAAGAAACCTGAGTTGCAATGGTAGATTGCTAATCAGTAACAAAGTATCCCTCTAGCCTCAATCCTTTCCTGAAGTCACAAACTCTGGACAGGAAATAAGGAGGAAGCTTCCCCCACTCCTGCACCAGGACTGAAGCTCCTACCTGTCCCCACCCCAATATGCCTGCAGAGGGCTTGGCCAGGACCAAGAAAAAACTTGGTCCTCAGCTCTAGCTGTCATTTTGGGGAAGAGTTCTAAGCCTTGATAGTGTCTGGATAGAGAAAGGAAAACAGAAAGGGCTGGTTATTCTCTGCCACCAAGCAAAGAGTTCAGGCAGAAGCAGGTGCCACCAACACTGGGAACCCGGCTTGTGAACACTGTGGGGAAGCAGGGAAGTACGGCAGTCAGGAGAGGAGGGAAGATTCGGGGCAGAGAGCCATCGAAGGGACTACGGCAGGGACACCCTCGGCACAGGCAGAGCTGACCTCCCACCCACACTCTAGCCACAGATGACCCCGGCACTTCCTGTAAGACGATCAAGCTTCCAAATCTCTTCAGGGGCATTATCTCTCTCCACCTCACACCCACCCTGCTGAGGTAGGGATCAGCCTCTCCGATTCCTAAGCAAGGAAGAAAGGAAACTGAGGCACACTGAGAAGTCAGAATCCATTCCAACCATATCCTCTGGGGAATACTGTAGAGACCAAGTCGAGAACGGTGTCCCAACCAGTAGCGCAGGATTTAGGGGAAGCCAGGAAGCCTCTCATCTTAGCCCAGGGCTCTCTGGTCCAGCTGCCTCAAGGTCTCGACACCAGTGCCAGTGGGCCAGCCCAGCCCAGGAGGAGACAGGGCTGCAAGAAAGCAGGGGAGGAAACTGGACTGGAAGGAAGCACAGAACTACAGTGCAGTAGTGGGCGCAGACTGCATTTGGGGAACATTTATGGCTCCAACAAGAAGGGGAAATTCACTCAGGGCCCTTTCGTAGTCTTCCAAGAAAAACTTCCCTCTGCCCCACAAAGTGTTTTCAGGTGGGATGGGAGACACCCCCTAGACAACATCGGAATGCCAGACACTAACACAAAAAAACTGTGGGTGAGAAACTTTTCTACCGTATCAGCTGGACAGGGACACCACCACGCCGGATGCTCCATTTGCTATGCCAGCCGCAGAGGGGTCTGGAGGTACGACCCCCACCACCCCGAACCCGTGAGGTGTTCAGGAACTACCATTTCACAACACCCCCTAGGCTTCCGATTCGGGCGCGGTGCTTACCGTGCAGGCCGTTAGGGATGCTTCGGTGGTGCGGCGGCGCCGACAGGTCATCCAGGGACCGGCGCGTGACTCCGGCCTTGCCGTCTGGACCCTTGTGCGGCCCGGGGGGCAGCAGCGCGGGTGGGACGTGGTGGTGGTGGTCCGGGCTGCCGCCGCTGCCCGCACTGGACGTACTGCTGCCGTCGCCAACATCGCGGGCCCCAGAGCCCGCCGCGCTGCCCGCCAGCGGCCCGCTCAGGCTAGCCTGGCTGTCTATGGAGCTGCGGGAGCCCGCGCCGCCGCCGCTGCCGCCAGCGCCCCCCGCCGCCGCCAGCGCCGCGCGCTCCTCGTCCAGCAACAGCACCAGCTCCTTCAGCTCCAGGTTCTCGCGAAGCAGGGCCTCCTGGCGCGCCTCGAGCTCCCGCAGCTTCTGCTGCGAGCGGGCCACCTCGTGCCACACAGCGCCGGCCGCGTGGCGCCCAAAGCGCTGCCACTCGCGCGCCAGCTTGCGCCCCTTCTGCCGGTCGTCGTCCAGGAAACAGCAGAGCTCGCGCAGCTCCTGATTGTCGTCCTGCAGCCGCTGATTCACGTCCTTGAGGCCACGGATCTCCAGCAGATGCTGCTGCAGCCGCCGGTTCACGTCGCGCATCAGGCCGCCGTGCTCCAGCATGAGGCCCACCTTCTCGCCCTCGGCGCGCCGCAGCCGCCGCGCCAGCTCCTCCTTGCTCCAGCGCAGCAGTTCTTCGTCCGGCACCTGGCTCAGCTCCTCCGACGCCGCCGCTGCAGCCGCCGCCGCCACCGCCGGGGGCTTCGCCATGGCGGGGCCGTCACCGCGGCATCGCCCTCGCCCGCGCGGGGCCGGCGCTCCCCGCGCCGGGGCTTCTCTGGGCCCGGCCACGCGCGCGCGGGGGGCGGCCGGGGACGCGTGCGGCCCGCACCGCACCGCCTCGCGCTCCCTCCCGCGGCCCCCTCTCGGGTCACCTAGGAGCCCGCGCGCGCCACAAGGCTCGGGAACGGGACAGTGGCTGCGTCGGTGGCCGCGGTGCCCGGGCTCTCCCGGCTCGGGCGCAGCAGGCGGAGGCCCGCCCCCGGCCCCGCTCCCGGAGCCCCAGCCGCCCCGCCCACCCCGGGCGGAGAGGGGGCGGGGCGCCGCAGTCGGGCCCCGCCTCCGAGAGGGAGGTAAGCGACGGCACGGCCGGCCCCCGAGGTTCCCCTACGCGGTGCGCCGGCCCGCCGGGCGCCCTGCCAGAGGCGCGTTCGAGCCGTGGTCCCGCCTCCCCGCCGTTCTGATTGGGCCTGTCTGGGGGTGTGCGGGAGGGGCGGGGCGCGCGCGGGGGATGCCGCAAAGATGGTTTCGTCCAACCGTGGGGCCAGGCACCCTCCTCCCCCCGGTTCAAGTTTCTGCGCCCGGAGGACGCGGCCTGGGCCAATCCCAGGACTACAAGGCGGTTTTAAAATGCAGGTAGGGCTGGGGGGTGGCGGGGACCGGTGGGAAAGGTAGGGTAGGGCTTCCCTTAAAGGCGACGCGCGAAAATGCGCGTCCCCCTATCGGGCCCGCGTCGCTGACCCTCCCTTTCTCATTCTTAATAAACAAATGCCCACCGGGTGGGCGCAGCTCCCTTCCTCCCTCCTGAGAGCACCAGAGTTCGGTGCAGTCCGAGAGAGGAGGAACAATAGGACCCTGACGTGGGGAGTCGGGCAGAGCTGCTCTTTGTCCCTTTCCGGGCCACCGACCTCCTCCGCCCCAGTTCCTGGGTTCCCTGCCTACACTCGCAGCGGGGCTGTCTTTCCACTCCTAGCTCAGGACTGTAGAACCTTGCCAGCCTTATCTCAGGGACAGACAGATCTCATCCCTCTTCCCCTGGCCTGATGGGGCGAGGGGGCCTGGGCCCTGCCCATTTCCTGGAGCGGCTCTCGGAGCCCTGCCCCTTCGCACACGCAACCGCTAAATCCCTGGGATTGGAGGAATATCTTTGGTTCGCTAGGTGGAAACCCCTGGGAAACGCGAGGGAAGGTCTTCCACCCCGGCCATAAAGCTGGGGTCCAGAGGCGCACAGCAACAGGGAGAACCTTCCCCCGCCCCGCATCATTGCGGGGCATTCGGATCTTCCTACAGCCTGTAAGTCCAGTCCCCAAAGCGCATTTACGGCGCTTCTGCAGTCGGCAGGCCGAGGGAAGGGTGCGTTTTCCCTGGACCTGCAAAGAGATAACCCACCCCAGGCTCAGGCACACCGGGGTAAACTACCCAGGGGGTAAGCTACCCAGGGCCTGGAGCGCGTGCCCGCGCAGTAGCTGACGTCCCCTTTTACAGTTACTCAGCCGTTTGCTGAACCACTGCGTGCGCCCTCTCACACCTTCCTCAGCGCGGGGCAATTCTACCCAGACAAGACTACAGAGGTGGTGCCACGGCCCTCTGAGGGTACTTGGCATTCTTGGGAGGAGGGAGAGTATAACGTGAGAAGACACCGTGAGGCTGTCTGCAGCGCTATGCAGGGAAATCAGTTGCCTTAGATCTTGTTTTCTGGGAGGGACTAGGACGTAGGAGCTTGGATCCGAGCCTGAGCAACAAGGACAAAGGTAAGCGGGGGGGGGGGGGGGGGGGGGGGGGGGGGGGGGGGGGGGGGGGGAGACTGTCCGGGTGGAGGGAACAGCTAGTAGAGTGGCCTTAGGGGTTAGCCTGTTAGTGGCCCGTTCAAAGGAGAGGAGGGGCCGGTGAGTTGGCTCAGCAGGCGAAAGAGCCTGGTGCCCAGCCTGACAACCACGTGATGAAAGGAGAGACCCTACTCCCTCAAGTTGTCCTCTGACGCCCATACGTGGGCCATAGCATGCATAAACCCTCACACACAAATAAATGTGACAGGCATGTAGGCGCAAGCCCTTGATCCCAGCACTCAGGAGGCGGAGGCAGAGACAGGCGGATTCTCTGTGAGTTCCAGGACAGCCAGGGCTGTTACACAGAGAAACCCTGTCTCAAAACTCGAAAAACCAAAAGCAAACAAACGAATAAATAAATAACAAATAAATAAATGTAATAAGAGAGAGAGAGAGAGCCATGGGTGGTGCAAGTCACTAATCCTAGACAGAGGCAGGGGGAAGCTCTGTGAATTCCAGGCCATCCTGGGCTGCAGAGTGAGATTCTGTCTCAAAAAAAAAGATGAACTATGAGGTCTGAGGTCAAAGGGCAAGCCCAGGTGTGACCTGAAGCAGGAAAGCTGTCTTGGATCACTTCTGGCTCTTGTGTCAAGGGTTAGGAACCACACTGGTTGGGCTAGATTGGGTCCTCTTAGCCCGCCTCCCTTCCTCCTGGTAGATGAGCTGGAGAAAGGGGTGGGGAGGAGATGAGCCCCAGGGGTGCTGAGGCCAGGGTGAGTCAGCTGAGTAGAGTCTGATGTTCCTGCAGGTCCAGCCCAGCACAGTTTGGGTTTAAAAAGGGCTTTAAACAGCTTGTGCCTTGGGAAGCTGAAGATCTGTTTTCACCCCAGGAAGCGAGATTTAGCAAGCCCCTGGAGGCTCCCCACAGAGCAAAGACTATGTTGGGGAGTTGCTTCAGAGAGAGAGAGCCTTGGGGGGTGGGGAGGGGACGAGTGAGCAGAACACACACCAAGAGGGACACTTCTGCTCACCAGGGAAACTGCTGAGACAATTCAATTTGTCCTGGGCTTAGTGGAAGCCATTATGTCTCCTTGTGGAGTCCCTGTGGCCTGCAGTCTCTGTCTTCTGATTCTCCAGGGTGACAGCTTCGGTGGAAGAAAAGGAAACCTTTATCCAAGCAGTGGTTCAAACCATCTCTACACGACTGGCCGGGAAGCTTTTCTCCAGGACCATAACGACCTCCTGGGAGAGCTCGGGAAGGTGCTAGCATTGGTGCTGCTGGGTGGTTTAGAAGTGGCTCGCTGCTCCCCACCCTACCCCCCTTGCTTCACATGCTTGGTGAGAAGAGGATCCCAGGACCGAACTAGCATCCCAGAGCAAAAGCTCTCCAGGACAAATGTCTGTGTCCCCCTGGAACACTCAGAGTCCAGTATAGCCACATAGTAAGTCTGAGGCCACCGGGGGCCCCCCCAATGAGATCTTGTCTGAAAAAAGCAGTCCCACACACACTGCTAGTTCAAGGGGTTCATATTCCTCTCCATGCCTGCAAGCCTAAGCTCAGACCTGCTTTGGCAGCCCTAGCTGTTTGCTAAGCGAATGATTGACCCTTCCATGCACGACCCATTGAGTTTGAGGCCCTTGTTTTAAAGGGAGGAAAACCGAGTCCCAGAAAGGAAGTACAAGGTCATTTTCATTGCTTGTTTTACCAACCACATATATACGCTCCAGTACATAAGTACCACCAACGAGTGAAGCGAAAACACCACTCTTACAGCCTCTTGGGGCCTGAGAAAAGTTTTCCTGGGGAAGCTGAATCCTGAAAGCTGAGGGGTGATTGGCAGAGGTGGATGGATGGAGCAGCAGAGGCTGGGGCAAACCATGGAAGAGCAGTTTCAAGGAGGCATGTGCCTGGGCATGGAGAGGTGGAGCTGAGTGGAGACCATCCATGTTAGCACCATCCTTTGCCGGGGACTCCGAGAGGTGACAATTACAGCAGCAATAATAACCAGCATGAACGACAAGTTCCCCATAGCTGAGTAGATAGATTACCCTCCCTTCGCTAGCCTTCCACACTGTAGGTACTCCAGCGCTAACTAACCAAGGCCAGGAGTAACTTGGACAGTTACCAATGGGAAAGAGGTGTAGGAGGGAGTGGCTGGAATCTCCGGTAGGAGGAGGGGTTATCTAGTTACCCCACCCCTCCTCTGAGGGAATGTCAACTGGCCCAGCCTTGAGGCTCACAGCTGCCGAGAACAGCAGTGGCTGCCAGACTCCGAGGGTAGTGTCCAGCAGCAGGGTTTGCTTGGGTGTTAAGTTCCAGGCTCCAAGTGCAGCCTTTTGAGTCCTGCTCTGTGTATGTCTGTGACAGCTGGCAGCTGCTCCTAGCACCCAACCCTGCAGCTTCCAGATGCTCTGCATGCCGGGCCTCAGGTGCTACCTCAGGCCCCAAATCTACAACCAGCAGTCCGACACACACACACACACACACACACACACACACACACACACACACGAGATCTGAGACCCAGCTCCTCTGAATATTTCATGCCGTGAGGATGGAATGAAAGTGGCAAAGACCTTAATTGTTAATGTGGCTTCTGCTGGCTCCAGGCCCAGCCCTCCCAGCCCCTCCTATTTGAAATAGCAACAGTGCATCGGATAACTTCTCCAGCACCTCAGGTCTTATGCCCTGCCCTGTGTGAGGCTGGGCTGGAAAGAAGTTGACCCCTGACCCCCAGCTGGCCAGAGAAGTCCATAACGTCCAGTGTTTGCTTACCATTTGTTCCCCAGTTCTCAACATAGAACCTTCGAACCAGGTTGGAAAAAAAAAAAAAATTAAGGAAAGCAGAATGGCCTGGCCTTAGAGTCTGTATTTCTGGCCTCACACCACAGAGTGGCCCTAGGCAGTCACAGACACACCTTGTCCTCTGTGCTTCTAGATCTGTACCTAAGCTTTGGACCATAAGAAGGGAAACTCCAAAAAAAAAAAAAAAAAAAAAAAAAAGAAGGGAAACTCCAACCCTAGACCATACTGTGAGACAGGCGGGTGTTGCTTGCTTAGAAAGGGGGGTGGGATGGAAGGAGGGCATACTGATGAATGTTCCAGAGCCTGGACTAGAAGGTGTGTTCATGAAACTCTGAAAACCTACAGTGAGCTGGGTCCTCAGTCATAAGCAGGGTCCCTCCGACAGAGACCCAACACCAGGACCATGATGCAGTGAAACATTCCATCTTGGCATCCCAGGTTCCTAGAACCTGTGTCAGCAAATCAAGGTACCACAGCAGCAAGGTGACAGATCAGCCCCAGAGGTCTCAGTCCTGAAAAGCTCATGAAATGCAGCCCCAAAACCCTGCCCCAGACCAATGCCACTTGAATATCTGGGAATAACTCCAATATAGAGGACTGGGGTGCTCTAGCCAGGGATGTTCCCTGGCGTCAGACCAAGCTGGAAGGGGACACACCCATGTTTGGTGGAGGGAGGGGCAAGCCCTCCCTAAGTGTCTTTAGAGCAGTTCTCAACCTGTAGGTCTCGACACCTTTGGGTGTCAAAGGACCCTTTCACAGGAGTTGCCTAAGACCATCAGAAAATACAGATATTTACATTACAATTCATAACAGTAGCAAGATTACAGTTATGCAGTAGCAACAAAATAATTTTCTGGTTGGGGGGTCACCACAACATGAGGAACTGTGTTAAAGGGTCACTGCATCGGGAAGGTTGGGAACTGCTCTAGAACACTTCGCCTAAAGATGTTCAGATTCCCTCAAGTGCTCCCAAATATGCTGCCTAGGATGCCAGTATCTAGTGAGAGGGGAGGGACTAGGGTTGGTAATGTCGGCTGCCATCTTTATCACATTCCCTGATTTGTTGCTCCGTAGCCAGGGTTGTGACATGAAAGAAATAACCATATACCAAACTACCAGGGGCTCATGGACACAGGATCCCAGAGGAAAGGGCCAGCACAGAAGAGGAGGAGCATCTTGGGCATATTGCAGAATTTCAGAGCGTCAGGAGTGAGAAGATCCTAGAAATGGGGCAGGGGGGTGGGAGATGAGAGACACAAAGGTCAAGAGTCAGAATGACAAGACTCTCCAGCCAGCTCCATGAACTAACTACAAGACACCAGGGTAATGGGATCCTCAGCTGCAGGAACCTGTTGGGTACCCATGTGATCAAAGGTGTGAGGGAGAGGAAGACATTTGCACACGTGTTTAATGTCTTTAAAATGACTTTGATCAAATGCACACCTGTGTGGAGGTCAGAGGCAGGAGTAGGATTCTCCCACAATGTGGGTCCAGGGGATCGAATTTCGGTGGTCAGGCTTGGTGGCAAGTAACATTACCCTCTTGAGTGCTCTCGCTAGCCTCGTTCTCACACACGCCAAGCTGGAGACGAGGTTCAGTTAAGTAGAGCACTTGTCTGGCATACACAAAGCCCCTGGCTTCAGGCCCCAGTACCACATAAATTGACATGGTGTTGCACACTTAAAATCCCGGTACTCTGGAGGTGGAGACTGAAGAATCTGAAGTGCAAGGTCATTCTGGGCTTGTTGGGGAGGGGTGGGCAGCAAGTCAGGAGTATACTGTTTATTTACAAATACTCCCATGGAGAGCACTGAAGAATCCAGGGGTCAGAAAAACAGCTCTGGCCCGGGAGAGGAGGGGTTTGTTTAGAACTTGCTCTGTCAACCAGGCTATCCTCAAACTCAGAGATCTGCTTGCCTCTGTCACTAGAATGCTGTGACTAAAGACATCCACCACCATGCCAGTTTGTATAATTTCATTCTTGAAACACTGAAAATGATTTAAAATCAAATGTATAAAGCCTGGCATTGTTTCAAGGACACTGGAAGCTGAGTGACCACAGATCAGCCAGCTGCCTTGAAAATGTGAGAAAAAGATTTCCTGCTTGAATTTGGCTCCTGGAAAGGGTCTGCCTAGTGGAAGACAGATCATAAGCATTTCCAGTGATGCAAGGTCCCAGAAAAATAAAAAGCAATTCTTCCAGGAAGCTTTTGGAGTGTGCATTTCTCTAGGAGTTGAAAGTCATGGGCAGGGGGAGCCCCTACCTGAGGCAGCAAAGGAACCCCAGAGGGTTGGAACATGGCTTAGAGGGGCCCAGGGTGTCAGAGTAGAGCAGTTGGCAGTAACATCATGGGGCTTAGATTTAAAAAAAAAAAAAAAAAAAAAAAGCCTAAATACCGTTTAAGGGTAAGTGAATGCATTAGCCTCTGAGCAGAAACAAACAATTGTATAAGAAACTGTCCCCAGCCATTTCGTGACTGTCATGAATAACTTTCCCTAATCATAACCCCCTGGCCAGCTGCTCACTGACACATGGAGAAAACCCTCTGGAGAGGCATGGGACAGGAGAGGTGAGAGGGACCAGGAGTGGGGACACCATGGAATGTAGAGAATAGAAAGGCAGGGAAAAAATTATAGTACATTATATACAAAAGTCCTTATGCTCATGGATAAGCATTAGGGAAACCAGGAATGCTAAACACGCAGGGTTGTTGTCTTCAAAGAGATGTATAACCTGTTTTCCACCCAGAAGGCTGGGAATGGAGGTGACTAATAGCCTAGGTGACCCTTGGACTATCTGTAGGTCTAAGCCAGACCTGGCTCCCGCAGGCTCCCACAGGCAGAACCGGAAGTAGCTAATAGTCTAGACCTCTGCACTGTGTGACTGAGACCACGGCAGATCCTCCCCTAGGCCCTTATGTGTTTATCTATAGAACCCATCTTCAGGGAAGAAGTGGCTTGTACTTTGAGAAGGATTTCAATGTATTTATGCCTCATTGTGCACACGGGATTGTGTTACACCAGGAAACAAATTGTACAGTGCTTAAACATGCCAAAATAAACTGCCCGTGTCAGAACGTTTGAACCAATACCGGCTACTGAGTCGTGTTGGATTTCTTCTTGCCTCAGATGGTTACTCTACTACTGGCTCTGATGTTTGCAGAGACTTCCACATTTTATACGCACGCACGCACGCACGCACGCACGCACGGAATTGATCCCAAGACTTTGATCCTATGCTAGGAAGCGGTCTGCTACTGAGCTGTATCCATTGCCTTTTTGTTTTGTTTTGTTTTTTTGTTTTTGTTTTTCAAGACAGGGTTTCTCTGTGTAGCTTTGCGCCTTTCCTGGATCTCGCTCTGTAGACCAGGCTGGCCTAGAACTCACAGAGATCCGCCTGCCTCTGCCTCCCGAGTGCTGGGATTAAAGGCATGCGCCACCACCGCCCGGCAACCATTGCCATTTTTTAAATGTTGTTCTGAGACAGTCTTGTTCTTGTGAGTCGCCTGCCTCAGCCCACTGAGTGTTAGATCACAATCTTGCAGGAATATGCCCAGCTAAATAACAGGTTTTATTTTGTTTTTTGGGGTGCTGGGACTTGAACATGTGGCTTTGGGCCAGCTAGGAAAATGTTATGTCAAGCTAAACCTGCATCCTTGTATATACATAATTTATACTCTCTCTATATATATATATAGTTACATATATATATTTGTTGTACATATAAATCATGCATATATAAAACATAACTTAATAACAAAATCTAGCTCTGGGCTGAGATATGCCAATCAAATGAGGACTAGGGGCTTTTTAGAACGGGAAACCCTGAATTTGACCCTCAGTCAGGCCCCTCAAGCCACCCTGCTGGAGGGTGCCCCCACCTGGATGGCTATTCAAATCTGATAAAGCACTCTGAACATGCTATCAAAACACCTGGGTAAATGAAGCTATGCTCAAGCATGTCCCCGTAGGAACTGATTATAATAGTCCAGCAGCAGGAAGTAGAGAAACTAGGGCTCAGCGGGGTGTCTGGGGGCCTATGACAGGTCTCCCCCACCACACGTTTGCTCACATGTTAAAAACAGGCAGGGGCAGGCGGAGAGTGCAGCCCAGAACAAGCCAGAACAAGCTCAGAACTGGACTTTGAGAACTGGAGGCTCCCTCTCCTGTCCAGGAGAAGCGCTGGCATCTGCTGGGGCTTTGGGAAGACACGTGTGCTGGCAACCCCACAATTCCATCCCGGGAGCCTGAGGGAGAGCTGGTGGAGATGGTGCACAGCTGGAAAGGCCACCATCTCCGGGAAGCACCATCCTGCCGTAGCTCCTGCAGTGGGCACACTGATATTGAGCCACACTAAGAAGGGACCTATCCCAGGAGGGATGTGCGGCTCCATTTCCATCTACTCTCTCAACCAATGTGCTTAGAAAAGTGCAGGAGCTGCGTCTCTGAGGTTCCTATCCTCGCCCCCTCCCCCACCCCACTGTACCTTCAGCTGGCTGCACATAACCACCCATCTGATGTCCCCTTCTGCTTGCCCACTCCACCAAGACCCTAGTGGCTCCAGCAGGAACCTGGTCTGTACTTCCTATGGAGCTTAGTCCAGCTGCTGCTTTTAGGTGGACCCTGGCCACAGGGCCCTCTACTACACATCTGTAGCTCATAGACACCAAGACACCATTCCCACCCCAGGAATACCTCTGACTCTGGCCAGAAAAGATGGTGCTGAAATGTCACACACCTTACCCAGCTCCCAGGTGTCAGGATGGCCTCAGAGCTGACTGGGGTGGCCTGGGGATGGGGCCGGGGGGGGGGGGGGGGAGGGGATAGGGAGAGAAGGGCCTCACCCAGCCAGGCACAAGAGGCTTGATGCTAGGTCCATTTGACAAACGCCGCTAAGACTCAAGGTCTAAATGCATTCTAGAAACTGTGATTTAAACGGAGTTGTCAGATGTGAGGATAAGCATTAGCAGGGAGCTGAGTGACCAGCTCCCTTATGTGGATCACTGGGTCAGAAATAGGTGTGTTTAGGGCAAAGGCAGGCTTGGCTGAGATGTGCAAGTTCAGATATTGGGGTGACAAAGTGACTCCCCACACCATGGCCATGTCTCTCCTCATGGTCGTAACTCCATGACTGGTAAGCCGGCCAGGGTCTTGACTGCTCCCCCGTCCCCCAGTGCTGGGTACCAGAGGCATTTTCAAGGCTGGACTTTATAAATAATCCCGGAAGGGATATGCTCATGTGCAGCTCCGCTTTCTGGCTGGGTTGTTCCACCAGGACAAATTCCCGGAAGTGAGATTCTCCGGTGGGAGGACAGCTGTCTTCCCACTCCTCACAGGAATCCCTCCGAGTCTCCCTGCCCTGGGAGGAGGCTCCAGCCACCAAGAGCAGCAGCTAATCCTGCCTGGTACTTCCGGAGGAAGGTGACAGATCTGGCCCTTTCCTGTAAGAGCTAATTAGCGGCCCAGTGCATCTATGGCTGTCAGCGCAATGAGGGCCCAGGTGACTCAATGTCATTTTTCTAGGGCCCGCCTGGATTGCTCAGCCATCCGGGGATGAATTTTTCTTCATGGAGGTCACAGAAAGCAGGAAGGCTGTCCTGCAGCTCCCCAGGGAGGCAGGGCTGTCAGCAGCTTCAGGGAGGGCAGAAAGGAGGCTGAAGGCCCAGTGGCAGATAATCCCTCTGTCCTTTTAGACAACAAAGATCTCCCCACCCCCACCCCTGACCCTCTGACTAGCTGGACCAGAATGACAGGCAGAGGGTCGGGAGGCCCAGATTTAAAGGGAGCTCTTTCCACCCAACTCCTCACCCCAAGTCAGGATCCCAGCTAGCTCCCAGGGCTAAGAGGCTTGTGGAGAAAAAAGGGTTTGCAGACCCCTCCGGAGGCAACCCCTTCTTTCAATTATCGAAACCATTTTTGGATGATCACTACTGGGGAAGGGTTCCCCACAAAGGGAGCACTGAAGGAAGACCAGGCAGGGAAGGCTGTGGTCTCCAGTGCTCCAGAGGAAGTGGTGCTCATTAGTCCTCATCCCTGGACAGAGTGCCATGGGTGTCCCCTGAAAGCAGGTACAGGTGAACCCTGAAAAGCTAACATTTGGGGATTTCAGTAGGTCCCACTGAGCCAGACCCAGTATGCACCTCTCATGAGACGTGAGTCCTCAAAAGACAAGGCCAGTGTCTGCCTTTCCAGAGAGGAAGTTTCCTGTTCCAGGGCATGAAGGGCAAAGGCAGGAAGGGCTGGCTGTGAGGGGCTTCCTGTAGGCACAATGCTCCCTCTCCTCTGTGGATTAATGCCCCCTTCATAGCTGAGGAAAAGGAGACCCAGGCTCTCAGAGCTTGCCTGGAGAGTTGAAGGTGGCTGACCCCCACCCCCACCCCCTGAGGCTACACCACTTAACTACGTGCCTGCTGTATGCAGGTCCTCACTTCCTGTCTACCCGCATCCAGTCCTGCCAAACATGGCGGTCTACCCCAAGCACAGACAGCTGCCCTCCATTCCGTTCCATAGAAGAGGATTTGTCCACGACCCACCCAAAGCTACTCTTCACCTGGAGGTGGCCCTCTTTGGGCTGGGGGCAGCTGGAATAGCCATCCTCGGGTGGGCAGGGGGGCTTTATGCGGGCAGGGCTAATGCCAGCGGCTGTGAGCTGCGTGGCATGGCAGCCTTCTAGCCCTAGTTCAGAGACGCTGAATACCTCTTCAAGGAGTCTCAGTCACAATCCTAGGTGATTTGGGGCACCTATCCAGGACCTACTGACCACAGACATTCTCAGAGAACTTTTTTTTTTTTTTTAAATAGTATCATGAAGGAGGGGAGCAATCAGGCACATGCATTCATCAGAGAAGAACTTGCCGGAATCCGTTCTCTCATGTGAGCTCGAAGGTTGGAGCTCACATGGTCAGGCTTGGCAGCAAGCACCCTTACCCAATAAACCATCTCACTGTCCCCCACTCTTAGACCTCTGAATGACTCAGAACACTAGCCTAACCTTGGTCTCAAGAGAGTCACCTTTTAAAGATAATTGAGAAAGACGGGGAAAGCCTTGGTGTCTGGATCCAGGTCAATCTCATTCCCCCCACTCATTGCTCCTTTCAGTCCCCTTTTCTGTTCCTAGACATGGAAGGTAGCCACGGGGCCTTGCCCTTGGCACATCAATGAGCAAGCCTTACACCACTCCATCAGGCTGCTTGACTGAAATGGGGAGGGCTGGGGGCAGAGACCTGTGACCTAGCCTCAGGGTCCCTCTTACTCTAGATTGCTCTGAAAAATGTGGTCTCTGGCTCTGTCCAGGGGTCATGACCTCTTCTAGATGCCCACAGTTTGCATCCTGCCTAAAGGGCGGCACGGAAAGCCTGCTTCCTGGTGGCTGCTGCCTTTGCCTGCAATGCACACATTGGTCTTTATCCCTGCCTGGCTGACTCTGTGCCAAGACACTGGTTTACAAAGTCCTTCCCGGTGTCTCCTTTGACCTGTCAGGTTCCCAAACCATGGTTAACAATGTAACACACTGGCCCTATTAGTTTGCCCATCTGCCTGGTCCACCTTCTATCTGAGAGTCCCAGGGGTTCCCAGATCTCAGTCCAGGGCTGGACCTCTGCAGAGGCATCACTGTACTATTTAAAGAGCCCAAAATCCACATCACCCAGGTTCCAGCAAAAGATTGCACCCCTCTGAGGTCACAGATTCCTCTTTTATAAAACGAAGATCCTGCCCACCTTAAAGGGTGGTGACACAGATCACTGGCCCTGTGCATAAAGTGATCACTGAGTGATGATTAAAAAAAAATCCACAAAAAATAATACAATTTAGTGACACTTTTTTTTAGATTTTTTTTAAGGATGAGACTTATCTATTTATTTATTTTATTTTATGTGCATTGGTGTTTTGCCTGCATGTATGTCTACTCGAGTGTTTCAGATTTTGGAGTTACAGACAGTTGTGAGCTGCCACGTGGGTGCTGGAAATTGAACCCTGGTCCTATGGAAGAGCAGTCAGTGCTCTTAACCACTGAGCCATCTCTCCAGCCCCAAGACCTGGGGTTTTTTTTGTTTTGTTTATTTGTTTGTTTGTTTGAGACAGGGTTTCT